AGCCGCCGCCTCTTCAATGCCCTGCAAGGATTGATTTCTAAGTGGCGCTAGATGCGAATTCCGTAGCTCCAGCCCAAACCAGAGCCTGTCCATCTTTCTTACATATCACATAAAATATGGTCACCCGTCTGCTTACAGCCTATAAAGGCTGTATGTTTATTTGGATCACGCTCATAAGGCGGTAGCCAAAAACCAACCGGCCGCTCTTCTACGTGAGAGATAATCCGCAGGGAAGAATCATGTAAAGCAGCGCAGCAACAGGACCTAGTCTTCATTCGCCCTCTTTCCGCCGAAGACCTTGGTTGGTAGCCGTGGCCCAAAACGCTAAATTTGACGAGGCAATCTGATTTCAGTCCTGTCTTCGTTTCATCGACACAAAAGTGGAATCTATCAGCCCTTTTATGCTTGTCGTCCTCGACATCGTTGTAATTTTTCCTTCAAAAAAACGCAAAACGCCTTTCCGCAAAAATACTGTAGTCAGCGCAACCGGAGTTGGACTGATGAACGTTATTTTTTTTTACGAAAAAATTACAAAGACGTCGACGACGACAACCTCACCAGGGCCATATCTTCTCCTTCCGCTAACATCCATAATACCTTTTCGATTGCCATCGCCGCATTCCGAGAGCTTTGCATTAGCTAGTAAGGAGGAAATCCAGCAGATGATTGCTTCCCGACCCCCAACGATTGTAAGCGGATGATTCGGCTCCGATAAACGATGGATGCTATCCAGAGTCCGTGGACCTGTCACAAATTCAGATGAATTTCCACCCGGTGGTATCACCTCTAGTAACATTTTCGCATTCTGCAGTTTTTCCCGACTTCAGTGGATATTCCTTCCCGTCATCATTGTAAGTCCCCTGACGCTCTAAGGCCATACGGATAAATCGCTCCAGTGGATTGTCGCCTTTTAAGGAAAGCATGAAGAGTATATTCTAAACCTCATGTACGGCAGGGCTAAAGCCTGCTAAGTTTCCTATTCGCATATTTTTACCATATTCACACGCTGTTATCGATAAATTTATCGTTGTACTTATCGATATAATAATCCGCATGATTGCTGAAACAATTATCGCAAACTTTGTCTATATCGATAATCATAGTGACATTGTTTTTGTTATCCATATTGCTATCGATATATTTAATTTACATCGTTATCGGTAACATTAGTGCGCATGTAACTCTAAAAATTTAAAATTATTATTATTCCACTGCCACGGCACGCTTGTCAGCCACCTTTTCACTTGCGTCCCAGTCTAATATTCTCTACTTCTTTATCTTTACGATTCGTAATAATAACTCATTTTAAACCATCAAGCCTTCGGTGGAACTGTCCGTCACCATGCGCCAGAAGTCGCTACATCGACGTCACCTGAGTTTGGGCAATGCTACATACCCCTTGGATGAGCAGAGTGTGCTGCGGGATAGCACGCGACGTGACAGTAGCGTGTCTTGGGCACGTGATGCCGCCACTCAACGTGCCAAAACACGTCCGCACAGTTGGGGGCCCGTTGGTACGGCCTATTATATGGATTCGTTGATGTCTGAACCAGTCGATACTAAGCTGCATGGACAATGTATTTGGAGATTAAGAATATTATTTTCTAACACTCTTAAGCATACATATATTTAAATAGATTTGTAAATTTTATGAATTGTACATAAGTTTGTATGTATTTTAAGACAACTTGTTTCAAAACAATAAAAGTTTTGCTAATTTAGAGAAAAAGTGATGCACCGCTGTTTGTAAATAACACCCAAAGTCAATTTAGAAAAATTGTTAATGTCTTTTACTTAAATTTTTTTGAATTACTACTAACAAGAAATGTACATATAAATGTACAAAGTTCTTTGTAAATAAATAAAAACGCATAGCGAAATGCCATAATTTTAGGTTAATATGTGACGTATGTAGTTGAAACCTGTCTTTTTCGTGAAATTGAATAATTTTTATACTTAAAAAAAATTAGAAAATTTACAACTACACTTTTATATAAAACATTTTAACAATAGGTGCCTACATTACTGTGTATATTACGTGAGCCATGACAGGAAGTGAAACTGCTTTCGTGCGCCAATGGCGCTGCATACAGCGTTGGCTTCAACTCATTTTCAGCAGTCGAAGTGACTACTTCTACAAAAATTATTTAATTGGTGGGTTGTTTTTTTGGTGAGTGTGTTTTTTGTGTGTTCAAATTGTGTGGTACGTAGTATTTGTGTTTATGTCACACGAAACTTAATAAACTCAACACAAAAGCGACGTACTGCATACATTTTTCTTCAAAAAATCATTTTGAAAAATGCACTTACCGCGCAAAAAAAAATAAATTAATAAATGCATTCAAAAATTGCACGCGTAAATTTATGCGCGGCTTTACACGAACGCCGAAAAGTATGGAGGTGTTTAGTTGTAAAAGAAAATCAGCAAAATATTAATAGCACGGGGCTTAAGGAGAGGTATCTTCTAAGCCATGCTTAAATACAAACTGCTTACCAATGTCCAAAGCGGATTTTCGTACAAGCCAAAAAATATATGTAAATTTGTGTATTAACAAAAAACGATTGTAATAAATTCCAAAATTTTGTTCAGCTGCGACTTCATTTCCAGTCGGAGCTTTAATTTTAAGTAATCCCCCCAACCAACAGCTTTAGGCTTCACACTTTTGATCTATTCCGATAAAACTGTGCTTCAAGTCTATTTAGTATAATTCTACACAAAGAGAAAAGTTCTAACAGTGTTAGTTCTAAAGTGCTTCAAAAGTATCTCAGTACGATGGAATTGGAAGGGTGTGGCGTTCTTTGACCTCTTACCAAGAAACCGTACAATCTCTCTCTCCTGAACTTGCGCCACTTCAACTTGATTCACTCTCTTCGAAAATTTTTGCATATATGTACATAATAATAATAATAGATTGGCGCTTACATATATGTTACTGTTTGGCCGAGCTTCTCCTCCGACTTGTGGCTTGCGCCTTGATGTTGTCATACAAAGCGGAGGGACCTACAGTTTTACGCCGACTCCGAACGGCGATTGTATTTTTATGAGAAGCTGTTTTTCATGGCAGAAATACACTCGGAGGTTTGCCATTGCCTGCCGAGGGACGACCGCTGTTAAGAAAAAACCTTTTTCTATATTTTTTGGGATGTTGCTTTGACCAGGGCTTGAACCCAGGTGCTGATGTGTGAAAGCGCGCACTGCTTACCACTACACCACAGCGGCCGACATACATACGGTACATATAAGGCTGTTAATGAGTTCCTTACTTGGTCTTTTCACACATAAATACATTTTTACGAAAGGGGAACTATGGAGCTCAGGCCAACGATTGTTGCAAGCCGCGAATCAGGGCAATCAGAACAGCATTTTCCAGCTAAGAAAAATAAGCGAAAGAGGTTGGTCTAGCGGTGAACGAAGCCAAGAGAAAGTACCTACTGGAAACAAATAAAGGGCCTTAAAGTGAAGTAGGATGCAACATAAAGACCACCAACAATCTCAGCCCGGAAAATAAACAAAGAATAACTCTTGCAAACAGGTGGTACTTTGGGCTCGGTAGGCAATTCAAAAGCAGAGCCCTTTCTCAACGAACAAAAATTATGATCTACAAATCTCACACAAACCCTTTGTAGTTTTATAAGGCGAACAAAGATATGAATGCTTTTTGGCATCCGATAGATCTATTCTAAGCAAAAGCTTTGGCCCTGTTTGCGTGGACGACGGGTACCGAAGAAGATGGAATGACGAACTATCGGAACTTTTTAAACGAGTGCGCTGGCTTGGGCATGTTTTACACGCATGGATTACGAGTCTCCTTCGACTCGGTACCCATGAGTGGACAACGAAAGAAAGGATGCCGGCATGCGGAGAGTCGCCCCATGACTCACAGCATCTCTTCGCATGCCCTCTAAACCCCACCACGCTAACGCCCCTGTCCCTATGGACAGACCCGTCGAAGCTGCACGCTTCGTAGGGCTGCCGTTAGTGGAGCTTGACGGCACGACTGAGGGACTAACCAATCTGGGCGGGGTTGTTGTAGCCGCTACCACAACAACAACAACAACAACGCTCGCGAACACAATGGAAGGTCTAAGTGCAGAAGGACCTTTCTGCACTAGCGAGGTACAACTGGCCCAACTTCGCAAAGGAGAAAAGCTAAGTTTTTTGGCTTCGTCCCATAACCGACAAACGGTTGTAGAGCCAAATAAGAAGAAGAATTATAGAACTCGCCCAAGAACAGCAAAAGTGTAGAATATACATATCTTATGCAATAATAGAAAATGAATTTTTTTCACCCAAAATGAATGAGCCCATATGGTTTATAAACGCACATCAACAGCAAGATATGAGGGAGAGAGATAGAGATGTGAGGGCAGGAAGATGAAGTGGCGTAGAGCAAGATTTACTACCCTTCTGTTTTATAGGGGCTAAGTCCATTGGCGGAGTTATGCTCTAGCTGCAGTAAGCTGATAAGCAACGAGCATTAGAGATGCATACAGGACAGTTAGGCGTGCTGAGCCAATGGATAACATGGAGATGCCAGCGGTGTAGCCTTCCAATAGTGAAAAAAAAAACTTCAGGAATTGAGCATTGAGCCAAGCAGGGCGACCATTGACGATAAGTTGAGAATGCAGCTGACTTTTTACTTCACTGAGTAGATCAATGCGAAGGATAATATAAGAATATTATTGAGAATCTAAATTATATTAAAACACCTTAAAAACGTTTTTCTATTGTTGGAAAACTTGCAATTATGATCTATTAGACGCAAAGTTAGTTTTTCCAGCTTGGACCAAGAATTGACTTAATATTTTACAAAAAGTAAATGCAAAAAGAAAAAAAAATAAAACATCTAACCTAGTGGATTTTTCATTCTGCTTATGTGACTTTCAAAAATTGCACAAATTTAAACAGAAAATCACTAAATTTTAATATATATAAAACATCATATTTTGGGATGTCATTCAAAAAATAAATCTTCATACTCATCAGAGCCATGCGAATTTTATAGAAATTTATAGGCATGTAAATAGCATTTGAGACCAAACAACTTACCATCGAAATGTGTGGGTTTATCAATGGGTTTCAACATTTTTTGTTGTGTGGCACGTATACGTTCCATCTTGCGCTTGATCTTGACCAAAATTTCGTTTTCATGTTGTTGACGATGTTCGATTTGCTTCTGACGTAGATCCTCAATAATATCAGCGCCTCTGCAATGTTAATAAAAGATGTATTAATTATAAAGAAGAACATTATATAAATTCATCCCAACTAACGCACCTCGTCGCCAATATGCTATTCGCCTTCGTATCGATGATTATGTGACAGAAGTAATGCGATTTGAAGATACGCATTTGTAGTATGAGGAATGCAAAACAAATAGTATCCCACATTAGTATTGTCGATTTATTCACCTCCGGGCATTCGCCACCGCCTTTATCCTTTAGTGCATCATCGACGGGTATTTGTGTATGAAAGTAACAGCCGATGCCCAACAAATGTACAAGCCAGCAGCAATTCTGTGTTAATTCTTCTAAGAATAGACAACCAGCCATTTCAAAACAGGTCTTCACAACAATATTAAAAACATTAAAAGCGAGCAGCCAACGCCAACGATTGATGATTTGACGTATGGGACGCAAATAGAAATCGGAACCTTCCCACAAGAATGTGAAAGCGCCAATTAGATAACCCAAAGCGAGAAAATCACTCATATTTGTGCCGGCCAAAAATACGGTGGCCAGTGTTACCCAAAAGAAGCCGCAGAGTATGGCATACATGAAAATATCCAAGTAGTTGCGCACATGCGAAAGGAAATCATTTGTTGGATTGTCAAAAGGCACACGACCCAAATCCTCAATGTCCTTAACCACATTACGATTCGAGCCACCCGGATAGCTGTCGCCGAGTCGTTCTTCGATGCGGTAGATACGCTTTTGACGCGTTACCATCAGTAGGAGTATGAAATCGAAAATCAATTTTTTCGAGTGATCATAATGCAGGTTACCGGGGAGCAAAAGCCAGCCTTGTATGGGTGCTGAGAAGCGGGAATCCTGCCATGGGTATTCTGAAATTAATAGAAATTGAGTTATGGCATAGCAACAAGTATCCTTTTGAAACGTAAGTTATATATGTACATATCGTCCACCGGATAAATAAATGTCGTCTTCAATCACTTAACTTACCCAAACAAAGGCTTGGCGGCAATCCGAGTAAAACCAGGTATTGTAAAAATATACCCAACGCAATGAACACTTGGAATATACCCCAAACGGAACTACGCCGCTTTCGACTGAACATCAACAGCACAGATAACCACACAACATAACAAATTGCTACAATATCCTGTCGATAGGCAATTGTGGTGACCAACATTATCAGTGAGATTTCTTGTCCAAACTTATAAAAGCCATAATTGAAGAGATACTGTATCATAGATTTCAGATTCTTTTCCGCTTTGACACGATCCGTGCTAGGGAATAGCACTTTGCCATGATCTTTTTGCGAATGGCCATAAATTGCGCGCATTTGGAATTGCCTTAGACTGACCACAGCGTGCAGCGTTACAGCGATCATATAAATAATGTACATTTTTATGAGACCAATTAAACCATTTGTCGTATCATCGGCTTTCTGTAGGCCAAACCATACTGCGCTATTGCCGTGTGTTGTGTTTTCATTATCCTGAAAATTAAAATTGTAAAAGGAAGTTAGTAAAATTCTTTATAGTAGAGTTATAAGAAAAATTTTTCACTTACGCATTTCACATCGTAATCCTCATGCGATAGATAACCAATTTGATAGATCATTTTTGCTAATATTATAATTGATACAACAAAAGAGATTATGCGGCTGATAAAGATTTGTATAGAGGTTCTTGTGATGCAACCCAGTATGCAGAGCGCTACGAATATGACGTGAATAATACACACCTAGAAGTACGAGAAAGTGGATCTTAATAGTAATTTATATTTATATACAAATGTGTGTATGTAACATCCACAATATCTTAATTTTAGGCTCATTCTAAATTTCGCATCATTTTGCTTTAGAAAAACTGACTTCATAATCGGGTTAATTTCGTAGAAATCGAGAATAGATTGGTAGTATATCTGGCTTGGGAGTTTGAGGTGATATATATCATAGGGCCTAAATGTAAGCAACGTTAAATCTGTTCGAATTTTCCTCGTATATACTAGTTCCGATTGGGGGTGATACACGTTCCTCGATTGCGGTCAATGTGGAACCATCCTTTGCTAACTCATCTGCGACGTCATTTCAGGTAATGTTGCGAGTACTAGGAGCCCAAACTATGTAAATCAAATTCGAAATCACTATTAACTGCATTTAAAAGAGCTCTAAACTCCGTAATTAGCTTCGAGTTCGCCTTGACGTTGGCCTAAGTCACTACGTTTTAATAGACGAAAACATTCAGTTATAACGAATACATTTGCCTGAAAAACACTTGCAAAATTAGGCAGATGGGTTAATTTTCTTAATCGCAGGCCTTTAGAGAAAACGTCTGCGTCAACTTTGCATTTTATTTTGAAGTCACCGATGAAGTAAGTACCTAGGCGAAGGTATGAAGTTCCCCGCCCCAGTCGCCTTTCGACGTGAGAAGGACCCTGAAGGACGTATGTAGTGCTATTTTAGTTCGTGTACAATCAGTATTCAGTCAAATCTTGGATGAATCTGGGTCATTCCGGTTACGTGGACCCGACTGTGGTGGGAACGAGTGAAAATAAATCTTCTGGATTGTATGCCATAGACTCCTGCGACAGCATTTAGCTGCTGATATTTTCAATACTTTCAATGCCCTTAAAATCCTTTAGACGACTAATTTATGTAAACATTTCTCAATTTTGAAAAAAAAAATCAAACTACGAAATGTGCATAGTTTTTCAGGTCGATTTTTTTAGAATATCGAAAAGCAACCATTTTCAATATAAGCCAGGATATTCTCGAAAATATATTTCAATTTCAAATTCTTACCTCATTAACGGCGCAAACAAATGCTGTTATATATACAGCCTTAATGATGTGTAATTCCAAGAAGCGCCAAAACAATTTCTTCGAAACAATGAAGTAATGCCTTGTAATATTACGTAAACGTTTTAGCGATGAAACAATCAATTTCGTAGCATCATTGCTACGATCAGACTTCGAGTCTTTTCTAGGCTGCTCAGTTTCAGTTTTTGGGACCCGTGCATCATTTATGTCAGCCGGTTCACGCTCTCCTAGCGACTCAATGAATCGACGATGGAAATAATGCACCTGTATGACTGTTAGTACAACGATTAGCGTTGGTGAGACCAGATGCAGGAAGAGATCTTTGGTTTTGTAACGCTCCAGGCCGATATCGTTTTGGCTGTGCGTGAAAGAAACAAATTTTTTGTTAATAGCCAAACATATTTGTTTTCAAAATTTCCATTTCATTCATACTTACAGCGTTTGTGATATATTCAAATACTCATACCAATATTGATCGAATTTATCAAATTGATAGGTGTAAATGAGTATTAGCATGGACATGGCATAGAAGATGATGAATAGCCAAAAACCATACATGACCTTGACCCACACCTTCGATGATGATTGGAAGACGAGTAAGAAGAAGAGAAATAACGCCATGTAGCATATGCGAAAACCGGTCATAAATTTTCCCGTCATAGCGCACAAGAAGATCACCAAAACTAGCATCCAAATCCATAAGCGAACTAAGAGATTTTTCACGATATCGCCAATTTTCTTGAGGAATTTCGATGTATGCTTGCGCGCCGATTCAACGGATGTATCCGAATCTATAGTTTCAAGTGCCATTGCAATAGGTGTTTTACGCTTATTGCGTTTCTCTTCGGCTTTCTCTTGGAAAAACTGCCTTGAAGTAACCCAAAACATGAGTAGGAAGAGCGTCTTGACAATTAGTGGCACACAGGGGTGTGTGCCATGCTCCTGCGGGCGCTCAAGACCGATTTGTTGCAAATTGATGCCGGCGGTCTGTGTAGAGGAGGGAATGATTAGCAGGACGGCAATAAGAAATATGATCATTAATGAACTTACATCCACTTTGGAGGGTAATTCGTCATTTTTCAAATTCATGCCATAAATATATTGTGCTATCAGTAGTAACTCGGCATAGCATACGATGAAGGGGCTGGAACGCATCATGGCTTTACGCTGATTGGGTATCATCCAGAGTATGTTGGCCCAAAGTAGTAGAACGAAGGTCAGCCAACTGTGGTAAATGATGGACCAGGTCTGAAAAGAGGTTAACAGACCGTTAAAATTTCAAAATGCAATCGAAGTTTTGAGCTAAATAAATATAAAAACTAGCTCCTCAGAAAAATCTGGGAAGAACTTATGCTTTTGGGATTTACGATGAACATTTCTACTTTTCATACTCACCATCATAGAGATATTTGTAAATATATAACTATTCTGATATATAAACTGGCCAATGCTTATAAAGCCATAGCAAATCTGATCGCATATCGTATTAGTAAATATATCGACGGATTGTGTGGACGTCTGCGTTTCCAGTGCAATTTCATCGCTTGTGATTTCTTTGGCATCACTTTTGCGTAAACGTTTCACCAGCTGATAGAGGAATGGTATGAGAAAAGGAAATTATTTATTACACTAACTCTTAAAATAAAAATAAATAAAATAAATAAATAGAAAATAAAATATAACAAGCAGTTAGACCATAGACAAATGGATTCGATAATAATCCAATAAACGCTTATTAACGAACACAATGAATGAGAGTGTTAATTAGTGAATTCCATCGCTGGAAGCATGAGCTGCTAAGACAAAAACGTACAACAGATGTAAACAATGATGGATGCTCATAAGTAGTAGAATGGCAGAGATTAATTATATGGTGGCATGTTAGTTATTATACAGTTAGAAATTCTATTCTTTCACGCTTACGTATGAAAATGTATCACAAAGTTTACTTAACTAAGTAGAAAATTGGGTGTTTAATAAGTATTTGTTGGGTAATGGGGTAGGACAAGAGACATTTTCTTAACAGAATAAACAGCTAATTTCTACATGAAAAGATTTTTACGTATTTACACATTTAAATCTGACACCAACCCAGACAAAAACAGTATTTAACTTACCAATACAGAAAGTAAAGCCGATTTTAAAAAGTAGTTAAAGCTTTTCAAAAGCTCTTCAAATGAAAAACTTTGATAAAAAGCGCATAATGCCTCAGGGAAGTCGCGAGCAAAATATAAACCCCGAGAGAAGCTTTTTAATAGGGAGTCGTTTGTAAGACAATTGAAAGAGAGTAGGCAAAATAGTGTGAAAGAGTTTTTTTCATTTTGGCACGAGAGTCTTTCAAAAAAAAAAGCTCCCTTGCCCACTTTGGAGATGCATATCATTTAGCGGGCGCTGCTCCAACAGTCGCAATGGCCGAGTGAGCAAAGCACTAACGTGTCATTCGAGAGATCTGAGGTTCAAACCCTCGGGCAGCGAGTATTTCTTTAATTAAATTTTCTTTTAGTTTTTAGATTTTGTTTTATAAAAAAATCTACTTCATTTAATTTTTAAGAACAAGATTCGAAGATTCAAATTTCTTTTGATTTTTAGGAACTGATTTTACTTTTCTCTTTTTTTAATTATTTAAATTTTAAATTAAATTTAAACTTAACTCTCATTGTCGAAACTAATTTTTTCTGCGTTAAATTATTATGGGAAGTTATTTCCCTTTTTTTTAAATACATTTTTCTATTAACTTTTCTTTTACTTTTAGAATGTATTGTTTCAAAAAGAAAAATATTTTATTTTTCTAAATTTCACTTTTTAGAAAACTATTTTATTTTTTCATTTGAATTTTTTTCCTTTTTTAAATTTCACTTTCTTTAAATTTTTAGTATTTATTGTTTTTAAAAAAGCAATCTCTTTTTCAATTGGATATAGTTTGTAGGAATTGTTTTGTGATAATTTCATTTGAATTTTTTTATTAAAACAAAATATTTTTCAATTTAATTTAATTTTTAGAAAACTAATTGCTAATAGAGAAACAATAACGTGAGACCTCCTAGTTAGCAGATCTTTCGATTAGTCTTTCGATATATAGAAAAAAGCTTTAAAGATAGTCTATAGAATAGACAAATGTTTTACGAAATATAAAAGCTTTCTCTATTCGTGATGGATTTAGAGCAGTAGCGGCAATTAGGGCTTTTACTCTACATGCGTCTATACAACACAACGTATGTCAAGCTTAGACAAGCTCTGTATGCGCTGCCAATCACAACTCCCTGTGCGGGTCAATAGAAAATCTATAAAAAGCTCTTCTGCGGAATGTGTTTTTCTCGTGACTGCTATAGGCATGTGTGTCGAGCTTTTTAAGGTTTCTTCACATTTTTCATAGACAAGCCAACACAAAAACCAATCGCGATGGAGAAGCTTTTTATAACTTTCAATAGATTTAATATTGATGCGCACAGAGTAAATAAAAGCTTCCTCTGATCGTAACGTTAACAGGTCGCGCCTCTGTCCATTGTTTTTAAAATCAACTTTGCTTTGAGCAAAGGTAAGTCCCTACTTATTTAAATTATACTATATACTTTATTTACATAAACGAGCTACGATTATAAATGTATGTATGTCTAATTACTAAGAGGATTGGGTGTAGTTAGGAACCGACTTGTGATCTTCTAAGCGATGTCCTATGACAAGGATAACATGAATTTTAGACAAACAAGTTAAACACTTATAATAAATGTTGGGGTTAATTGATTATTATGATGATTTTTTTTTTATAGCAAACTTTAGTTAGTTGAAAGATTTTTAAATTTGAGTTTTTGTTTTTCATTTAACACACAGGTTAGTTTACGTACAGGTGTCGTCTCAGTCGGTTCGATAGTACTTTTTGGACGTTGGTCACGACGTAACGAAACCTAAAGTAAAAGTAGAAAAGCATAAACTTAAAAACAAAACGCAATTGAAAGCAATAAAGATGTGCTGAAAATTATTTAAGTTTTTTTTTCAAAATTTCGAAAGAAATTTAGTTGTTATTAAAAAAGTGTGCTGGAAATGAGAGGGGAATGGAAAAAGGGTATTAAGGACAAAACAAAAAATGATATAAATACTTGGTACGAATAAGGAAATTAGAATTTCAGTAAAAAGCTTTAGTTAACTATTAAAAAAATAAAAGAAATAATGAAAAAACTAAATGAAAAATTAAAATTAATTAAATACAATTTTTGCAGAATAATTTGGAAACCGACAAAATAATAAAAAAAACTAAAAAAATACAGTGGCGTAAATAGTAAAATTATATCTAACTACTTTAATATTAAAAAAAAAATACTTCTTAAAGAGAAAAAATACGAAGGCGAAAGGACAAAGTAATTTTAATATGAATACAAAATAAAATGTAAAATGTATAATTAAGTTCGGGTACAAATTTTTATTTAAGTTATACACTAGGGCGGGTCAATTTTCTTTGACTATGTGCGTATAACATAGGAGGTTGCTATCTGTAATCTTAACTCGAATATGTCCAGAACTTTTTTGGCTCGGATTTCGAATTTTTGTTTTAAGGTTGTTTCTTATAGGGATAAGGATTTACGTAGACACTTTATGAAAAATTAAAAACGTAGTTATATTCGAAATTTGGCAACTCCAAATTGATTTTAGCCCCATGGTTTCTTCGGCAAATTCGCTTAAAATTGCACGTAGAATTCTTCAGTACTATACGCTCATAATCGAAAAGATTATCCATACCAATTGACCCGCCCTATTATACACTCTACGCCTTTAATTTAAGATCAGTTTAGTTTATTAAAAGTGATTTTAGAAGTTTGAATTTTATGTAGTCAATATACATATTTCAGGAACTTTTAAAGCTTAACCTTTCCATATACCAATTTTAGGGCCTAAACCAAACTACGCCTAAACGGCAGTTCCCATACGTGATAGTCAAACCACAAGAAGATCTCGCTCAACCTCAACACAGATTTTTAAAGTGGATGAAATTTCACCTTTTTATACCTATTTACAAACAAATTCCAATGGTGAAACATATTTCTCGGCTTCCGAGACATAAATATTTTGTGCGTATTTTTTTCGTGGAGCATTTTTACCCCTTAGCTCTTACCACAATGGGTCTTGTCAACTCTTATCTAGAACAAGTTTCGTGTAAATTTATTAAAATGGCGTTTAAAGGGTTAAAAGGTCCCACAAAATTATGTAGTGGCGTGTAGGCATAGGAAAACATTATTAAAGAATTTTGCCAAAAATTTCCGGGAATTTTTCTAGCTCTCGCCGTAAGAGTCACCTTATACCTTATAGTTTACATGTTGTTATGAACTGGGTTCAATAGAGCCGCAACAAATAAATAAGAAAATAAAACCTTTTTTTAAGAAACTCCGTAAAAGTCAACCGAAGTGGCAGCTCAAGCATTAAAACCTAACGAGCACCGAAAACAACTGACCTAAATGATCCTTTAAGATCAAAAATAAATGAATTTCTAAAGAAAAACCAAATATTTTTTCGAATTTTAAAAACTGCCGAACAGACTGCGTATTCAAACGAACTATAAACGCGGTGTAGAACCCAGTTGAAACTTTAAAGCAAAGAAACTAATAAGTTTTTAATTGTCTAAGAACATCCATAGAAATTTTTACAAAAAAAAGTAGTCCAATTATAACTTAAGCAATCGCATTTATATGCATGTTTCCAGTAATGTTTAGATGCGTGTATGTTAATGAAACTATGCGTATATTTTTTTATTTTATTTTTTCGCTTACAGTCAGGCGTTGTGCACGTGTCCAACTATCCTTTTTACTACTACGCAATGAATGTGTCGTTACGCGAGATATTTGACGATTTAATCTACTACCATTTTCTAATTGGCCTTTGGCGGGTTTGGGCTTTGCAGTGACCTAAGCATGCCGGACGGGTTACCAAATTTGGGGTAGTGCACAGAATTACAAAATGTATTTTAGAATAGAGTAAAAAATATATTAATAGTTTTTTTTTTTTTGTTTTTGTAAATATACGAATACATATTTTTTTTATTTTGTAGGTGTTGCGTTCGAATTGGATTTTTGTTTTTCGGAGCAGCAGTGGTAGCATTGTTGGTTTGGACGCAAAAGCAGCATTAAAAGAAAGGAAAGAGATTCAAGTTTGAAATTTTGTTTAGTCAAATTAGTTCACATACGAATTTCGATTTTATATAAAAACAAAAAATTCGGGCACAATAAAGCCAAAAGCCTTTTTTTTAGAGATGGGGTATTATTTGTGTTAAAAAGTGTAGCGTACATATATTTTTTTTTAATTGATATGGAAATGCAATTGCTGTTTTTTGTTTTGTTGTAGTGTGCATTCTTCGATTAGTTAATACAGAATAACCATGAAATTGGTTAAAATGCAAATAAGAACCCCGCAAAGTATTAGATATGTATGTATGCAGTAAGAATATTTTGTTTTTGTTTTTTTACTTTGGTAAGTTAAAAAAAAAATACATTTTGAAATCTATTTTAATACTCACATTTGCATTGCTTAGGCACTTGGCGGTGAGCGCAAGCACAAAATATGTTAACAGCATTAAAATAGGAAGAATGAAGGAGTCGAAACTGTACTTCAAATTGTAGCTCATAACGCGTATGTCCCGATCGCAGGACGATAGGACCAACGGCTCCAGGCCGATCAGTCTGAAAAGATGTTTAGATTAATTTAAGCGCATTTGCTTACAACATGCTATGTATGAATGTTAGGGTGGTCCGTAAAATATCAACATCTAAAGTTTTTTATGGGCACCCCTTTATTTTCTTTTGCGTACAAAATAAAGACATCCACAGGACTTAAAAAATTTTAAACTCATTTTTACGGGTCGCTAAGAGGGTTTGATTTTTATTTTTATTTTTTTATCGCAAAAATTCGACAAAACTGTGACTGAAAATCTGATCAATTTGACTTATTACTGAAACTAATTCATATAAATTCATAAACTAGCTGAGTTATAGGTGGCCAAAATCTAAATTTTTTAGAATTTCTGCGATCTAAAAAATTAATTTTTTCAAACTCTTGTAGCGACTGCCATTTGTGTTAAATTTGGAAATTTTCGTGGATGTTTTTTTTTTTGTACGCAAGCCTTCATTCAGCATAATGTATGCACATTTTACTTACCTTGCTATTAAATTATCACTACTCAAATAATGTTGCGCCCATGGCGTTTGATATGCGACAATACACACCGAGTGCAATGCAATCATCAGCATGAGAAAACGCAGCAGCACGGAGAATCCTCTGTGATTAGGGATGGGTAATGAACAAGAAAATAGTGGCATTGATAACACTCAACACATAACAATTAATTAACACTCACTGTCGCAGCGAATTATAGGTGGCCCAGTATGTGCCACTCAACAGGAATATGAGAAAGTATAATCCAGCAGGCGCTGACGGCCGCAGCACGGATATAACAAATAGCATCGCCAGGCAAAAGAGTGGTGCTGCAGAAGGAGAAAGGAAATATAAAATGAAAGATGCCTAAATTTGAGTGAAAAAATAATACGTTAACAGATTTCTATAATTCTTTTTTTTTTTGTGGTACCTCCGAGATGGTCCCATACTAATTTGGTACAGATCCGATCATTGGATCATGAAGAAATTAACGGTAATCTTAAATTTTTATATGAGAATTGTAGGCGGTTTTGTTTTTTGCTTAAAAATTACTTGTTAACTTACATATTCTTATTAATCCATCGAAGAATGCTTCATCATCTGGATTAACATTGTCATCCGATTCTCGCAACGGAATCGGTATAGCTTCTCCAATTTCTAACTGCAGAGTAATTGGTGGTGGTGTTTGTGATAGCTTTTTTATGATTATAAATGAAACTACCACTGTGATGAAAACCAACAAATCCGGCGCATGCCATTCAATGGCGGCTATAGGACTAAAAAAAAAAAAAATTAAAACGAAAAAAATGCGATTAGTTTATAGTAAATATTTTAATTTATGTAGATTAATACTTTACTTACTGTAGGTTTTGCAAATTAATGAATCCGATGTGTCGCAACAATTGTTGCGTAAATGAACACATAGCGAAGATCGATTCGATCTTCATAGCAATTATTGTCACTTGCAGTACTATATGACATAATAGTAGTAGTGCACATAGTGCGATGAGTATGATGAAAAATGGTCCCACGGAACTTTTAAAATTACGACTGTTGGCGATGGGGATAAAGGGCGTTATAAAAAACATTAACAGGTACACGAACGAGATACCGGCAGGGCGGAATAGTGCGGCTGAAAAGGAAGAAATATACGATATGAGTAAGCAACTGCATGCACGTCAAAGGAATTCCCCTTTTAACTACATAAAAAAAACAATCATCAAGTAATTGTTTTACTTTTTCCATCACTTACCCAGCACCAGTACCGTCGGCACTACCACATATTGCACCGCAAGACAGCCATAGCTGATTGCCATTTTGTGGAAGAATTAAGTGTGTTCTTACTACTATCGAGGTTGAAGTACCTGCGTCAGCTGCTGGTTTTGTTGTTTTTGCGGCATCACCAGCCGAAATTGGTCACATTGGGGCCCACTAAAAGATAAAAGAAAAAAAAAAAAAAAGTTAATGAAATAACATCAAACAATCTATATCTTACAACGTAATTTTTGAACAAATGTATATACTTGAAACTTTTCTTAAATACCAGAGTTCCGAATAAATTTCGAGAAGGCCCAAAAGTTCCCAAAAAAATACCGAATATTTCCCAAAAGTAAAACACGAAAAATCTCGCAAAGTTCCAAAGGGGTTCGAAAGAAGCCTGAAAAGCATTAAAAAGGTGCAGAAATTCCTCGTAAAATCGAGAAAAATTAAATGCAAAGAATACCGAAACATCTTAGAATGTTCCGAAAATTCCAAAGTCTTGAAAAAATAATAAAAGATTCCGAAAAATAAAACGTGAATTATACCGAAAACCTCTAGTAAAGTTTTGCAAAAATACCAGAAGTTTCCGAAAAGGCCCAAAATACGAAGAGTCCCGAAAAAATTCTGAGCGGTCCCGAAATGCACCGTTAACATTTCGATGTAGGTTTGGACGTGAAGTTCCCGTTAAGTCCCGAGCGGTCCCGAAAAATCTTTGAACAGTACCAAGCAGTTCCCGAGCAAACGCAGTGAAAAATTGTAATGAGTGCCACACGGAGGATCCCGAAAAAAATCCAAAAATCACGAAAACATTCCAAAAATTCTTGAAAGACCCCGATAAAACATGGAAAAAGTAAGAGAATTTTCCAAAAAAAAAAATCCTAAAAGTCTATGTAAACTATGTAACATACGGGGAACTTACTTAAAAAACTAAAAGAAATCAGATAAGTAAAATTTTTTCAAGTCATAACCAGCACAGCTGTTTTGGTAATTTTTCTACAAAAATTGGTAACTTTAATTGTTTATTTGTCGGGTTTGGTAAGTTGATAATTTATTCTTCAGTTTGGTAACTTTTTGGAATTAAGCCATTAATGAATTACTTCGGGCTATCAACCGCAAAGGTGTACACCATACGAGCATTTCAGGAATTCTCGCACGCCTTAGGGCGTTGAATTTTTGGAAAAAATTTCGACCACTTTTTGGTATTTATTGGTCGTTACTTCGTACATAACTTGATACAGGTTAGTTTTGAGGTGCTTCAAAGTTCTAGGTTTATCCGAAAGGTACGTTTCATTAAAAAGTTCAAACATGCGAACACTTGTTTGAGCCATTGTGTATACGAGTATTTTGATACATACATACATATGTATGCATGTAAATAGTCCCCCGTAAGTCGGTTTGTCCTACAACTAACCGTAGGCCCATGAAACAAGCCGCTTCGACGTGGATGGACAAGAGGGAGAGGGGTATGACTGAGTAGGCATGTGACAAGGTTGTGGGTTGGTGTCTTGTGTGGAATCCTCGCAGGCTGGGCACTAATTGGGTATATCGGAGTCGAGTCTGGATAGATAGCTGTTTCCAATATCTACACTAAACTGTTCTACGTAGCAGCTGAAGTTCGATGTCGGCAACAGATGGAGATTAAGCTTCTATCACGAAGCAGAGAGAGTTGCAGAAGGTGGTGACAGGCACTCTATGTATACCGTTTATCGCCTGTCTGTACGTCGCTAGATCCAGTAGTTGTACCATGTACGTCTGGACTGCGTCCTTATACTCAAAAGGATGCCTTATGACCTGCCTGGACGGAGGTCTCTGCTCATGTTCGGGTGCTCACGACTGTAGCACCCTACCAAAAACAGCTCAGGGACATCAAAAGGCATTCTGTCGCTGTGCAAATTGCAGCGTTTTGACCAACCTGTAGCTTCGTCCACTGCGTCCAACTATTTAGTTCGAGGCGACCAAATAGGTGCAGCATAATTTCCAACCGACCAACCAGCAGCCTTGTATGTTGCCACCAACCTTCATGAGTTTTAGCCCCAGTTGTTGCCGGCGAGTGACTTGAGCACCTCTTTGTTTCGGCTCTGTGGTTTACTCATTCCGACCACAGCCGGGTGAATGGCTCGGGTTTTTACCGGACAAGGACTGTTGTTTCGGGGACCTAACCCCGTTTAGATTTGCCACCTCATCAATCGTTAAATCTTAGATCTTTAACTTTCGTTTGGTATGACTTTTACCTCCTAAAAAAATCTTGGGTGCTCAATAGTATTAAAAATATAAATTGATTGCAGTATTACCTTTTTATATCATTTTTCATTGCATCCGACTTTTAAGGCCAATTTGTCTATTCCAATAGGTTCAAGGGCGAACACTGTCAAATGGTAATAACATGCACCCCAATGAAAAAGAACCGCACATATGCAACTCAATTTAAATGCGATAGCAAAACACTCATCAACTGCACAACAAACGAGTGGGAGAAACATTGCATAAGGATTAACGAACAAGGAGATGTACGATATATTTTATCAGGTCAGAGAAAAGGATGAAGAACACAGTGCTAATAATACGGCAAATTAGTAGGCGCACCAAGCCAGCTGCATGGAGCAATGCATTGCCTAATAAGGGTATTCATGAGGTCATGGGCCGCGACAGCTGTACGTAACTAAATGTGGAAGATAATCATGTTTTTGTAGTTTTATAATTTCATTATAGCAGAATATGATTGTCGTAGTTTCGAGAACTACAAATTCATAGTTTAAAAATTTAAGTTACAAAAGAAGTAAGGTAATTGAAGCAAGCAAGGAAGAATAGTAGCAAAAGTGGTAAGGGCAGGACATGTGTGCGCCGCTATACACAATCCGCTACACATTGCGTGACTTTCACATTGAATTAACCTACATAATGCGTTAGTTAGCCTTTCAGCTGCTAACCGAAATGGGGGTTAAAGTAAGACAAAACATATTTCAGAATAAATGAGGAAAAGCTATCTGTACTAACGAAGCAACATTCCTAGTTACTGCATTCAATAGCAGTTGTAGCGAGTAAAAAAAGAAAAACTTTAGCACACACCCACATCACATAAAAAAAAATGCCATAAAAAAGGATAACTGAGAAAACATGGCGGTTGAGGTTGAAATAGGCTTTCCATTGTCAGTGTCAAGTCTTGCAAGTACTTATATCCATACATACTTACATGCCTATGTCTGTTTGTGCGAGTGTGTCCTTTAATTAACAAAACTAATTTGCGGAAATAAACATTGTCACACTTTTTTAATTATAGTTGAGTCAACAACTTGCTGCTGGTGGTCAGACGGCACGTACATGCGAAGCAGAGCCAAGTCAAAGTAAATTATAGAGCATACTTCGAGAAGAGTGGGCAAATAGCAGCAGATTACTCGACAGGTTGGCTGACTTCATTCTTAAAAAATGGCAAGCGAGCGCGCAGAAGAAGAGGAATGAGGGGAAAAAAGTTGAAGACAATGTTGCCACATCAACAAAATGTGTCCTACCAAAATGTTCACACAAAATCTAACGAAACGGTAAAAATAAATGTTTTTCATGTGTCAGAAAGAGCCATTGCGTAGTCAAGATATTAATCGGACGTGCCTACGGACTGAATGGCACTATGCTGACGTTGTCTTCTAACGGTGTATGTACTCCAGTTACGGGGTACCGGGCCTCTGCCTCGGATGACCTATTTCTTACCCCAATACTCGTGGGATCCTTATGGAAAACACTATGATGTCAAAAAATAAAAATAAATGCATTAACACATTTAAGCTCAAAGGAGCACTCGCTCCGTAAGTTCTACCGCTCCTGAGGCGTCAGCGAGCTTGAGACCAAGAAGTTAGCTTTGCTGCCATTGGTCAAGCGGGAAAGATGGGCTCGCTTCACTGTTGATGGGCTGTGGAAAAAGGGATCGCTTCCATACCACCACCTCTCCAGAAACCAACAACTCCCTAAAAACGAAGGCAAGACCGCCCGGTAAAAGGGTACACACGGGACCAACGCCTCCAAAGACTAAAGTGACCTTCGCCGACGTCAAAAAGGCGACAAAAAATCCAGCAGTTGCTGCCACATATCCTGGATGTGGTGAGACAACAGCGCAAGGGCTCCTCTAAGCTTAAATTCAGCTTCTGTACCCAAACAACGGTCAATGTGAGTTACTTACTAGAGGTCCCGGCCTTAACTCTACCGGTCGACCCGTTTTCGGCTGATACTCTGGATAGACAATGGTTGCTGGTCAGCTGGGCCTGCGGTGTCCTCCACTGCCATTTCCGAAGATGCAGCGGCCAAAAAAGGCCTTGTTGCTCAAAGGACGCTCACAGTTTGCAGAGGCCAGGGAGCAGCCTGCAGAAGAGCAAGCCTCGCATAAAGAGCGACAAACCTGCTCAAAAAATGCTACACGTCTTGCACATTGCAATCCAATGGCGCACGACAAAGGCCAAAAAAGCAGTCCAAAAGATTCATAACACCCTCTGGTAGAACCTTTGAGCGGCCATCTACACAAAATAGGATTCTCTGAGGCGACGAACTGCGGGTTGTGTGGGGGTAGAAGAGGAAACCTCACATATCGACACCTCCAAACCATGCTATGTCTAAGTTGACTTAGCATGGTATGGTTTGGAGGTCGACATTATATGATTGCCCGCGTAAAACGCGACATAGACTTAAACACCTTGGCGAACGATTACACCGGCACCCAAAAAATTTTGTGTGATTTTAATTAAACCTACCTGTCTACATATATTTCGTACCGCTCAATCCGAATCTGAGGACCGTTTGAATCGTAATCCCTCAAAATTACGAGTAAACTACGAAAACCCCAAAAAATTGCCAACAATTTGCAATTTCCGCAATTTACTCGAAACTCGTACACTCTACGAGTCAAACGGACCTCAGATTCGGTAGGTGAGTCTGGTTAAAAGCACACACCACTTTTTTTTTGTGCCCCGGTGTTATCATCTTTATCCAGAATCTGGAACATGACAGCCTCCTATGTCCTTAATTTCATGAATACATTAAGGGTGGACTGACTAAAGTTAAGGGTTAGCTTATCTAGTTAGGTCGCAACGCCATATGCCAGAGAAATATTCTACCGAATTTGCTATAAATCTACCACACCGGCAACATTGGTTGAAGGGCCGCCGCGCCTCTTTTTTATTTTGTG